ATCCATCCATTCATCCATCCATCCATCCATCCATCCATCCATTCATCCATCCATCCATCCATCCATCCATCCATCCATCCATCCATCCATCCATCCATCCATTCATCTTGCAGCATACAAGCTTTTCAAAAAAAGAGGGTGGGGCTCTGGAAAGGGTGCAGAGAAGAGCAGCAAAGAGGATCAGGGGACGGGAGGCTAAAACGTACAAGGCTGTGTGAATTGGGCACATCTGGTTCAGTGAAAAGAAGGACTGGGGGGGGTGAGACTTGACGGCGCTCTTCCCATATTTGAGGGGCTCGGCCTGCTCCCCAAAGCCCCCGAAGGCAGGGCGAGAGGTGACCAATGGAAGCTAATCAAGGAGAGAAGCAACCTGGAACTGAGGAGAAGCGTCCTAAGGGTGAGAATGGCTTATGGGTTTGGGTGCTCCATCCCCGGAGTCCCTCCCACAGGGGCTTTCTTCACCAGGCACCTGGACTTCCTTTTTTCTCTCTGAAGACGTTTCGCTTCCCATCCAAGAAGCTTCTTCCGCTCTTCAGAAGCGAAACGGTCTTCAAAGAAAAAACGAGGAAGTCCAGGTGCCTGGTGGGAAAAAGCAACCAGGACCTGGAGGACGTGGAAAGTTTTTAAGAAGAGGCTGGACAGCCCCTTGTCTGGAATGGCGTAGGGCGGTGGCCCCAACCTTTTTGGCACCCGGGACCGGTTTCTAGTCCCTGACGTTTTCTCGGCATGGCTTTTCAGGAGTGGTCGGCCATTGCCTCCTTCTGAGGTCTGGGAGAGGGTGACTGGCTTTACGTCTGAGGCAGGATTAGAACTCACCGTCTCCGGCTTCTAGCCGGATGCCTTAACACCCTCCTCTTCTCCTTATCCGTTATTAGAAATGGCCACCGTGGCCTGTTCTTGAACCATCCAGGAACAGAGCTAGCTATAAGTCCGTCTGCCGTGTCCCCGGTGGAGGCGAATCTTCTTGATTTCCAAAGCAGATTACCTCAGATCCCCCAGGCTGACCTCTACCTTGTGCCAAGCGGCCGTCCTGGGGGTGGCTGAGTTCCACTTTTCTTTTTTCCACTGTACTTTCCGGCCTTGCAGTCTTCCAGCCTTCTCTCCTCCCTGCTTTGTTTTTTTGTTTTCAATTTGATAACCTTTCACGCAATATATTTTACCTCCATTTGGATAAAGTGGGTCTGGTCCCCGAAAGCTGATCCTGTACACATTGGGAAATCCATTGCCTAGGGCAGGGGTCCTCAACCTGGGCCACTTTAAGACGTGTGGACTTCAACTCCCAGAATTCCTCAGCCAGCAAAGCTGGCTGAGGAATTCTGGGAGTTGAAGTCCACACGTCTTAAAGTGGCCAAGGTTGAGGACCCCTGCCCTAGTGGGATTTCGCATAAAATTATAAATGATCAATGAATGGAAAATTAAAGATCGGAATCCTGCCCTAGCGAAAAATGTACAGTTTTTATAGAGAAAATATGTCTTTTTCAGACAACAGGCTACGTTGAACCATTTTCATTAGATATTATCTTGTAATTTATATGACATTTTGAATATGGCCGAGGCAAAAGGTATTCTACTTCCCTATCCCCCCCCAGCCCCATTTCAGTATGAGATATTTAAGAATTTGCCTCCTTCTGTGTCCCTAATGAAGCAGCTAAATATTTAATATTTGCTGGATTGTGCCCATTCGATTATAAAAAACATTATTTAAAAGCGTGTTCATTCATGAGGACTAGAAGAGCTGTCAAAATCCAGGCAATCACAAGTACAGGGACAGCTGACGTTTCCTGTCATCTTTTTGCAGCCTTGATTAATGGACGTGTCTAATTAATGTTTTTGTGTTTGTGTATGCAGCATTAGCTTTATTAAAATATTTTTAAAAAAATGAAACATCATGTTCTTTAACTATACATTCTCCTCGCACACTGATTGGTATATTTTAGTAATTATGTTTTATTAGGCTTTCCTTTTTTTAAAAACAAAAAAGTTCAGCCCAATTTCCAGAGGAGCCAACTATTCCACTGATAAAAATTGGATGTTATCATCAAGGTATGTTAACATCACTTGACCTATACTGAACAATTAGAAAACTAGAAATAAAAATTTTAAATGTCCGACCAGCCAAAGTATCCCAAGAGAGATTAGTGACGTTCTACCCAACCAGAGCTAATTGTGGGAGGAGGGGGAAGGGGGGCAGGGAGAGAGTGGGGAAAAAAAAGACAATAAATCATATTTATAACTATCTGGCTGCATGCTGTGGCTGGACTGAGTAACTGCAGCAAAGGAAACATTTGAGTTAGGTGATTTGGAATGGCTCAAAACCAGAGTAAGGACATATATATATATACACATACATATAAAAGATATTGTAAAAGTAAAAACTGCAGTATAGCAGTTAAAAATGTCCAGGTGTTCTCAATCAGACCAGTCTGTCTGGAAAACTTCCTGTATATACTTTCTGGATTCTGCTGGCAAAGAGGGGAGGAGAGCCTGTGGCTTGGTGGTTGAATCACTGCCTAGTATGTAAAACTGCCCAGGTTCGAATCCCATAAAGGGTATGGCTAACTGATGAAAGCAGAACAAGCTAGAAATGGCCATCTTAGTCTCCCAATTTAATTCTTTAACTCTTTGTCAGAAAAAGAAATTTGGATTTAAAAATGTTTCGCAGTTGCGACTTGAGCCTGCTTAACGCCCCTAGTTGTGGGGCTGCATGGTAAAAGATATTGTAAAAGTAAAAACTGCAGTATAGCAGTTAAAAAGTCCAGGTGTTCTCAATCAGACCAGTCTGTCTGGAAAACTTCCTGTACATACATATATATATATATATATGGTATATATATGACATATACATATACATACACATACATATATGACATATACATATACATACATATATAAATATGGCCAAGGCAAAACCCTAACCCTAAGTGGGTTTTTCCCCTATGGCAGTGATGGCGAACCTTTTAGAGACCGAGTGCCCAAACTGCAACCCAAAACCCACTTACGCATCGTCGGGTGCTGGGTGGGCGTGGCCCAGTGGGTGGGTGTGGCCCATTGGGTGGGCGTGGCGAAACATCTTCAAGGAAAAATCAAGTCCAGTTTTCTCTTGGAAAACCATGACCTTGGATGACTGAGAAGCTCCATATGTGTGGATTCCAACTCGCAGAATTCCCGAGACTGGCTTTAGTTTAGGGGGGGGGGTTGGTTTATAATCCTCATCCCAAAATATGTTTGCCCTGCCCTCGGGCAACGTTTTCCGCCTGCTTCTGTGGGAATGGGTCTCTGCAGATATTGCTGCTTCGTTTGCATATTAAGAGCAATACCCTACTGAACAAGGAAGCAGAAATCAAGATTCTGCAAACTGACGCCATTGGTGTAACCTTTACTTGCTAAAGAAATGATTAACCAATTCAATCTTGTGTGTTATGCTTGTTTAGTGATAGGTTTTAGGTTTTCCCCAGGCAGGGAGCATATTAGCCCCTTTCCTAGCCGTATTTTCTAGTGGAAATGTGTCCTTCTCAACCTGCCTCCAGAAGCGGTGAATGCTCCAACACTGGAAGTTTTTATGAAGAGACTGGACAGCCATTTATCTGAAATGATATAGGGTTTCCTGCCCTGAGCAGGGAGAGGGCTGGACTAGAAGACCTCCAAGGTCCCTTCCAGCTCTATATTATTATTACTATTACTACTATTATTATTATTACTATTATTATTACTATTATTATTATTATTATTATCCCAAAGCAATTGTTCACTGTATTTTCTTCCACTGTTAAGAAGGAAAAATATACAGAAAGGAGAAACTATTTTTTTACCTGTTTTGAGGTTAATTCGGGATTTGGGGGAAATGTCCCTTTGACCGTCTCCTCTGGTTCAAGCCTGTGCTCCAGCTCAAAATATGGAGTTGTGTTATTTTGTGGAGGCTGTACCAAAAGCAAGTGGGAGGTCTTGTGGCAGGATTTTGATTCTCTTCACCCCAAGCCCAGCTGGTAAAAGCAGGAAA